ATTGGAACAAGTAATCAAAGATATACAGATGACAAATAAGAACATGAAAAGATGCTCAACATCACTAGTCATTAGAAAAATGCCAGTTAAAGTCACAATGAGCTACTACTTCACATTTATTAGACTGGCTAAAATTAAAAAAACCAGGGGCCCCTGGGTGGCTCAGTCAGTTAAGCATGGGACTTTAGCTCAGGTCATGATCTCACAACTTGTGGGTTCCAGCCCAGAACCTACTTCAGATTCGGTTTCCCTTGCTCTCTCTCCCTCCCCCGCTTGCACTCTCTCTCTCTCAAAAATAAATAAACATTAAAATTTTTTTTTAAAAACACAAAAAACTGACAATACCAAATGCTAGGGATAACGCAAAGCAACTGAAATTCTCACATATTGCCTGTGGAAATGCACAATGGGAATGCAGCCATTTTGGAAACAATTGGGTGACCTCATAAAGTTAAACGTACAGTTACTGTATGACCCGGTAATACCACTCCTAAGTATTTACCCAAAAAGAAATGAAAATGTATGTTCACATGCCTGTACACCAATGTTTATAGTGGCTTCATTTATAATCGCTAAAAACCGGAAACAACCTGAAAATGCTTCGATCAGCAAACGGAGAAACAAGCAGTGTTGTATCCACATGATGCAATACTGCACGGCAATAGAAAGGAAGAAACTACTGATCTGGACAGCAACATGGATGCATCTCAAATGCAGTATCCTAAGTGGAAGAAGCCAGACTCAAAACGTTATGATTCCGTTATATGAATTTCTGGAAGAGGAAAAACTATAGAGATAGAAAGCAGAACAGCCGTTGCCAAAGGCTGTGGACAGGGAGAGAAACTAGCTACAGAAGGCCCATGAGGGAATTTGGGGGGGGGGGGGGGAGGCGGGGGGATGGAACTGTTGTAAATCTTTTTTTAAGTTATCTGTTTTTGTTTTTAATTTTTTAAAATGTTTTATTTATTTCTGAGAGAGAGAGACAGCGTGANGGGGGGGGGGGAAGGCGGTGTGATGGAACTGTTGTAAATCTTTTTTTAAGTTATCTGTTTTTGTTTTTAATTTTTTAAAATGTTTTATTTATTTCTGAGAGAGAGAGACAGCGTGAGCAGGGGAGGGTCAGAGAGAGAGGGAGACACAGAATCTGAAACAGGCTCCAGGCTCCGAACTGTCAGCACAGAGCCCATGCGGGGCTCCAACCCACAAACCGTGAGATCATGACCGGAGCCGAAGTCGGATGCTTAACCGACTGAGCCACCCAGGAGCCCCTGAACTGTCGTAAATCTTGATTATGGTGGTGGTGGTGGTGGTGGTTACAGGACAGGACTGTATGTTTGTCAAAACTCATATATCTGTGCACCAAAGCAAGGTGAATTTTAATGTAAAAACAACAATTAAAAACAAACAAACAAACCTATCGTAGCTGCCAGGTCTCCACTGGACCAAGACTAAATTCGCCACCTGACTTTCTGCGCCTCTGCATTCCGGCCAATCCCGAGCAGTCCACTTGATTTCCCATGCCGCCTTCTGCTCCAGTTACCACCCCCCCCCCTTTCCTCACCATCCTAACCACATTCACCAAACTTGCAGGCTTCCTGGCCTTTCTGCGGGCTGCGCCCTCACCTGAACCGCTCTCTGCGCTTTCTGACGGTCCAAACCACTAAGCGGCACGCCCTAGACCACACAGCGGTCCTCCCTGAACTCAAGTTCCTCTCTGAGTCTGTGCTTCTCAACGCAGGGGAGGCCCTTTCTCGTAGCGTTCAGCGGTGTTTGGCGAGTGTTAACCCTGATTTCAGTTCCCCTGTCACCACAAGCGCAGGGGGTAGCCTTACCTCTACGCTCAAAGCTCAAAATTAAGCACACATGGCCTATCACTCAGCAGGCCCCCGACGCAGTGCACGCAGGAAGGAGAGTGACCACCGAGCTCCAGGAGCAGGCGGGACAGGCGTCTAGGTCTAGAAGGGTAATGAGGCGCCTTCGAGGCGGGTCAGGCCGTCAGGCACCAGCGCGGTGCACAAAGCGGAAAGGGCAGAGGTCCCTGGGGGCGCAAGGAGACTACCCACAGCCCGGTATCCCGGCGCCCCGCTCAGCCTCGCGTACCTTGCCCTCGTAGGAGCGCTCGGCCGCGCTCACCGACACGGCCTGGATCAGCAGCAGCAGGAAGAGTGGCACCAGGAAGCCGGCGGCGGGTACAGCTACCAAGATGCTGCGCACCAGCTAAGGAGCAGGGCCGCCGGACCCTCCTCCCTGGCCCCGCCCCTCGCCCGACTCCGCCCCAAGAGCCCCGCCCCCAACCAGGACCTCCCATCCGCTACCGGCGCTCAGTCCGGGGTACACCTCGCCCGCTCTGCTCTCCAGGCTCCGTGCCACCTTTAGCACTCCTCGTTATGACCCTATTAGATTCTCAGCTCTTCCTTGTCCCTTCTAGCCTCGCCCGTCTCCCTGGCCCTGACCACCCCCGTTTAGTTCCTGGGGGTTCTCCCTCCCTCCCCCCCCCAGCCACCATTAGCCGGGAGTGGGGGAGAGCGTGATCCGCGTGCTCCCGCCCTCCCTCCGGGGTAATCCCTCCCCTCACCCCCACCCGCTCTCCCCAGTGCTCCCTACGTTGGCCCCACGGCGGATACGCAATGGCCTTGTCCGTGGAGAAGGGCAGGTGGGTTGTGCGCACCAGGAAGATCAGGCAGGTCACCAGCATGGCACCCGAGTACAGGCATAAGGACAGGACAAGCAGCATGAAGAAGCGGAAGTTGCGATGACCGATGCAGTTATTGACCCATTTGCAATGGTGGTCAAAGTCCTGAGCAAGAGGGAGGGGAGCAGGCCTGGAGGACCCCTAATCAGAGGCTTCATCCCTTTTCCCAAAGGCCACCTACTCTTGGCCCCTCAACTGGCTCTCATCCCTAGGGAGAAACCCAGCCACAAAGTCCTTAACGCTGACATATCTATGGTTAGAGCACCATTAAGTATCTGTGGCTCACAAGGTCATATGTCAAGAGGCCTTCCTGGCGCTCCGTGGGACACATCCTGGTGTAACTTTGGGCAGGACACAGACTGTCTCTGGGCCTCTATTTTGTCATCCATTGAATGGGGATAATAATACCCTTGCCCAGGCAGCCTCCCGGGGTTGTAAGGACCAGATAAGAGCACGTTTGTAAACCTTTGCAGCCTGTGCATGAGACAGCCCAGCACTCAGAGCCCAGGAGACCCTCAGAGGGGACAGGCAAAGCTTCCCTGGCCAGGCCTACAGCCACTCTGAGGGCCTCGGGCACCTAGTTTCAGCAAGCCTGGTGGAAGACACGAGTGTCTTTCTCCCCGTGGCCTGACCAGGCCCAGCATAGGTGTGGATGCCTCTGTGTGTCAGCACCCGCACAGGCAAGGGCCAGCCTCCCAGGACAGGTGACATGTAGTGACTTGCATGAGTGACCAAGAGTGGTTGGGAGTTACCGCCACTCTTGGCCTTTAGTGGTCCCGGAAGTGGTTTCACGCCTGCCACAGGCTCCCTTGTAAGTGGGCCTCCCGGGCAGGGGTGGGGTGGGGGCAGGTGGGCAGTAAAAAAGGTCACTCACTTCCACACAGATGTTGCACCAGGGGCAGTGGTAAGTCCGGGGCGGGCGGTGGAAGCAGCACTTTGGGCACCATTGCAGACGGAAGGCCCTCTGGTTCACCCACACCACGTGCACCATCATGGGGCCCTGTTCGTTGGAGCCTGGCAAGGGAAGAGGATTGGGCAGCAGCAGGAGGGCCTTCCATCCATTGGCTGCTCCGGGCATAGGGAGGCAGCTCCCTATCACTGCTGGGTTCCAGGAAGTGCGGGGAAGAGGTGGGCAGGGGCATCCCTAATCTCCACTGGGCCATCTGCCCAAGCACAGAGAGACTGGCATTCAAAGGGAAGGTAGGTTTCCAGCCAGAAGAGTTCGGTGAGGACTCAGCCCTTTGAAACTGTGACTGATACTTTAAGGAGTTTGTGCAGTGGGAAGGTGGAAGGGAGAACTGAGTGGTTTCAAAGGGCTGGCTTCTCTCCCCACCCAAGGCAACTGGAAAACCTCCAGAAATCTGGTTTTTCACATCTCCATGGCTTAGACGATTAAGTGCCAGAGGCAGGGCCTAGGAAACGGAGGATGTGCCATGAAAGGGTCCTGAAGCCTGAAAAGGGGAGATGGAAAGAACCCTTCAGGAGGGGTTACACCCTTCTCCCAGGGACCAGTGCCTCACCTTGATGCAAGATGCCGGGGTCTGAGAAATTGAGTGAGACGAGACTGAAGAAAGTGAGGATACAAAGGAGGCCTGTGACGAGGGGAAAAGCCCACTCCCCATTCTGGGCCAGCCACCTGCAACTGAGATCAGAGCAGGGCTCAGCCCTGATTTGGGGTGGGGGATGGTGAAGTTCTTCCTGAACCCACTCCACTTGATCAGAACCCACATACCTTGAAGCCTGCTCTAAATATCCAGGCTAGTGACAGATCTATAGAGACTCCACCAAATGTCACCCAGTGTTATGGGCCACCTGCTACTCCCAAAGGCACTAAGCACTATATACCTGTGCCTTTGCACATTCGATGCCCTCTGCCTAGAGTATCCTCCCTTCTCTCACCCCTCTTCTGCACTTCCCCTGCCTCTGCACTGTCATCTGTTTTCCTTTCCATCTCTGTAGGAAACCTGTGGCTTGTGTGGGAGGGAGACTCACGGGAATCCAAAGAAGAGGCCACTGAAAACTACCAGAAGCATTACATTGAAGGCAGCAAACAGGCTTGGGAGGATCCAGGGAAGTGGGGTCTGAGGCAGGGGATGGGGCTCCTTCATGAGGGGCACGGAGTCTTTCAAGAGCGGCATGGCTGGACCTCCCGCGCCCCCAGGGGCGATCAGAGTCACCAGGCTCCCTCGCCCCAGCTGGCTCCAGGAGCCCCATGGCCACAGCAGCCTCGGAATCCACAGCCCAGGGTGGAAGGAAAGAAGTTCCAATGTGACATCACAGAGGTTGAGGAGAATGGAGGCTAGGGGTTCTTCAGCAGAACTGTCTGCAGCCAGTAACCGGAACTTCCAGCTGCAGCCCCCACCCTACACTTGTGCCAGGGACTGAGAGGTCCTGCCCTACGAGGTTGGCTTTGAGACTACGTGAGATTAGATAGACACGTGGGGGGAAGGTGGGCGATTCTAGTCATCTTTTCAGGCTCAGTGCTAATCGAAGCCAACAGTGCTCGTTGTTCACCCTACCTCCATTTTTTTTCTCCTCTTCATTATTATAAAATTCCACTTTGGGGAGTTGAGGGGCAGCTAGATAATTTTCCAGAGCTCTCATTTCCAAGGCTGGCTTCACAACACAATTCTGGTCCACGAGACAAAGGGGATGCCTGCTGAGGATTCCCAGAAAAGATTTGCCTTGTTTTCTTCTGGTCTTGAACCTAGATGTGCTGGCTGACGGGACCACCTTGGAACCATTAGGCAGTATGTCAACGTGCTACAAAGAATGACACTGTTGAGTCACTGCCCTAGACTTAAACTGCCTCTCTCTGAGCTGCTTATTATATGAGAAGGTAGCTGGGTTTTCTGCTGTTACACGCGGCTGACATTGGTCATTTGTTTTGGCTATTAGGCGTCTGAACCCCTCTGTGTTTGGAGGATTCCCTGCACCATACCTCTTCATGAAGGGCAAGGACTGTCCCCCATACCAGATGGAGCTGAAACTGCCAGATATTCACATTCAAAGCCTATCCTGCAGCTAGCACATAGCCCTGTGACCCAGACGCCACCAATTAGCCTCAGAACTGCTACTACCAACCGGATGGGAGTCTTCTGAGATATAGTAGCTGCACACATTTTCAGAGCTCCCGCGTGTAGAAGTGTGATGGCCATTTGAATGTCGCTTTAATTTCAACAGTGATTGTATTATTCTTCAACATGGATAAAATATGTAATTCCAAGAGTCTGACTTTGTTTTTTTCTTAATGTTTATTTATTTTGATAGAAACAGAGAGCACGCACTAGTGTGCTACATAGAGAGGGTGAGGGTGGGGCAGAGAGAGAGAGAGAGAGAGAGAATCCCAAGCAGGCTGCACGCTCAACATGGAGCCTGATGGGGCTTGATCTCACAACCCTGAGATCATGACCTGAGCCAAAATCAAGAGTCGGATGCTTAACCGATTGAGCCGCCCAGGTACCTCTTGATGTTGCTATTTTCTGAAGCAGGGGCCCAAAGTCAGAAGAATAAAATTGACTTTGTGTCTTTTTGACTGGTAGGTGACACCAAAGGCTTGCTCTGCCCCCTCATAACCTGTGACATGGCACTGCCATGCATATAAGGTTAATACAGAGATATAATTAACACGCTCCATATTTTCTTACATGCTCAACAATATAGTAAGAGCTCCCCTATTTATTGGGCCCACATTGTGGGGTAAGCTGATAAATAAAAAAGAGGATTGAATCTAATACCTGTATAGGTAAAAGGTTATTATCAATATGAATAAATATTTCAGTAATTTGGATACTCTTCCAGAGTGGGTGAAAGTACATTTGAATTCATGAAGTATAAAGGCCCAGACACTTTTCCTCAGTGCACAACAATTCTGAAGGGCCATTCAGCCTCTGTGTGACTGACCTTGGCTAAGGATATTGTTGGGCCCTTACCACAGATTGACTTCTCCTCAGCTCAGTCCTGTTTCCTTTCCTTTGCTTTTACATGCATTGATTCCCAAAACTTCCCAAATAAACATCTTGCATGCTAATCTCTAAAGTCAATTCGCAAATTTTTTGTTTTTTCTATTTATTGAATTTAGCAATAAATTCAATAAATTTTTATGTTTGTGGTTTTAGAATCCAGGGGGTTTTCTACATTCTTTTTTTTTTTAGTTTGTTTATTTATTTATTTTGAGAGAAAGAGTGTGAGCAGGGGAGGGACAGAGAAAGAGGGAGAGAGAGAATCCCAAGCAGGTGCCCATCATGGAGCCTGATGCAGGGCTCAAACTCAGGAACCCAGAGATCATGACTTGAGCTGAAACCAAGAGTCGATCACTTAACTGACTGAGCCACCCAGGCGCCCCTGTGTCTTGCATTCTTAGTTGTTTTTAACTAAATCCCTAAATTTATGATGTCCTGTAGCAAACAAAAAAAAACCCACAAAAATGTTAAGTAATGAATAAGAAATGGGGTCCCACTCAAACATCACCTTTCATTAAAACTAGCATCTTCTGAGGCACCTGGGTGGCTCAGCTGGTTAAGCATCCAGCTCTTGATTTCAGCTCAGGTCATGATATCACAGTTAATGGGTTCAAGCCCTACATCGGACTCTGCACTGGCAATGCAGAGCCTGCTTGGGATTCTCTCTCTCTCTTTCCCTCTGCCCCTTCCCTTGCTTTGTCTCTCTCTCAAAATAAATAAATAAACTTTAAAAATTAGCATTTTCCTTTTCCATCTCAACTGTAATGCAAAACAATGCCAAGTGCAGGTACAATGACAATTTACTACCAAGTGACACTTAAAATCTTGCAAAAGAAGCAGAATTTTATGATATTGATTGAAGTGATATTGGAACAGCAGTTAAATCACCCAAAAAGTCATCAACCAATAAGGAACTAGTCTAAAACAGCTAAAAGTTGAGAAAGGAAAAATCAACAAGGTTGACAGCCTAGTAGGCTCTTCAAAAAAAAGAATGGCCGATAGCTTCACTAGTAAATTCTATCTGACATTAAAAAATGAACACCAATCCTCCTCAAACTCATCCAAGAAATAGAAGAGGAAAGAATACTTCCTAACTCATTCTGTGATGTCAATATTACCATGACACCAAAGCCAGCTGAAGACATTACAAAAAATCTCCCAAAGACTAATATCCTTTATGAATATGGATGCAAAAATCTTCAGCAAACTACCAGCAGACTGAATCCAGCAGCATATTAAAAGGATTATACACCATGACCAAGAGGGATTTATTCCAGGAATCCAAGATCAGTCCAACATACATAAATCAGTGTCCTACACCACATTAATAGAACGAAGGAAAAAATATGTATGGCAAAATCCAATACCGTTCCATGATTAAAACACTCCACAGCCTAGAGGCACCTGGGTGGCTCAGTCGGTTAAGCGTTGGACTTTGGCTCAGGTCATGATCTCGCAGTTCGTGGGTTCAAGCCCCGCAGAACCTGGAGCCTGTTTTGGATTCTGTGTCTCCCTCTCTCTCTGCCCCTTCCCCGCTCATGTTCTGTCTCTCTCTGTCTCAAAAATACATAAACTATAAAAAATTTTTTAAAAAACACTCCACAGCCTAGTAATAAAAAGGATATGTTTCAAATAAAGGGCGTTTATGAAAAACCCACACATAATGCTTAATAATACTTAATAATGAAAGACTGAAAGCTTTCCCTGTAATTTCAGGAACAAGACAGGATTGCTTACTTTTGCTACTTTTTTTTTTAACATTATACTGGAATTTGTAGTTAGAGGAACTGGGGAAGGAAGGAAAGAAAGAAGGAAGGAAGAGGTGCATGGGTGGCTCAGTCAGTTAAGTGTCCAACTCTTGACTTCAGCTCAGGTCATGATCTCATGGTCATGGGATTGAGCCCTGTGTGGGGCTTCATGCTGAGCAGTTGGAGCCTACTTAAGACTCTCTCTCTCTCCCTCTCCCTTTATTCCTCCCCTGCTCACACTCACTTTCTCTTTCAAAAATAAATAAGAAAGAAAGAAGGAAAGAGCATCTGCACTGCAAATCTCCAAAATCTCTATTTGCAGATGACACAATTTGTATATAGGAAACTTTATAAAGAATACACACACACACTCGCGCATGCACAATCGGAGCTAATAAATGAGTTCAGTAAAGGAGCAGCATTATTCATAATAGCCAAAAAATGGAAATAACCCAAATGCCCATTAATCTGGGCATGCCTCAAATCTGGTATGTCCACACATGGAATATTACTCAACCATAAGAAGGAGCACAGCACTAACATGTGCTGCAACATGGATGAGCTTTGAAAACACGTCCCATGAAGAAAGTCAGGCACAAAACACCACATTGTATGATTCTATTTTTTATTTTTAGAGAAAGACAGAGCATGAGTGGGGGAAAAGGGTGGGGAGAGGTGGACAGAGAGAGAGAGAGACTCTCAAACAGACTCCGCACTCAGTGCTTGACATGGGGTTGGATCCCACGGCCCTGGAATTATGATCCAAGACAAAATCAAGGGTTGAATTCTCAGCCAACTGAGACACCCAGGAGCCCCCATATGATTCTATTTAGTAAGTGTCCAGAATAGGCAAATCCATAGAGATAGGAAGTAGATTCATGGTTGCCAGGGGCTGGGAAGAAGGAAGAATTGGGAAGTAGGAGGTTTCTTTTTGGGCTGATGGAAATTGTCTCCAATTAGACTAATGGTGATAGTTGCACAGCATTATAAATACACTAAAAAACCACTGAATTAGGTAGGGGCACTTGGGTGGCTCAGTTAGTTAAGTGTCCAACTTTGGCTCAGGTTAAGATTTCGCACTCGTGAGTTTGAGCCTCCCATCTGGCTCTGTGCTGACAGCCTGGAGCCTGCTTCAGATTCTGTGTCTCCCTCTCTCTCTGCCCCTCCTCCACTCACACTCTGTCTCTCAGAAATAAATAAATGTGAAAAAAAATTTTAAACACTGATTTATATACTTTATAATGACTAAAATGGTGAAGTTTATGTTATGTAAATTTTACCTCAATAAGAATTTATTTTTATTTTTTAAAATGTTTTTTATTTATTTCTGAGAAAGAGAGAAAGAGAGAGTGAGCAGGGGAGGGTCAGAGAGAGAGAGGGAGACACAGAATCTGAAGCAGGCTCCAGGCTCTGAGCTAGTTGTCAGCACAGAGCCCGACGCGGGGCTCAAACCCACAAACCGTGAGATCATGACCTGAGCTGAAGTTGGATGCTTAACCGACTGAGCCACCCAGGCGCCCCCAAAAATGTGAATGTTTTTAATACACAACTTTTAAAATTCAAGCAATGAATTTAGTATAAAAACTATTAAAACAAAAATAATTAGACTTAAAGAGAACGGTCTTTAAATATCAAATGATTGAGGACCCCTGAGGAAAACTGATGAAATTTATGGGGTTTTTATATTGTGATTTTTCAAAAATGATCCTTACACCAGGAGAGCCAACATTGAAGTGATAGGTGTGTCCTCACATGCAATCATGCCATTTTGTGAGAATATTTACATTTTTTTTAAAAGGGAAAGAAAGAAAGAAAGAAAGAAAGAAAGAAAGAAAGAAAGAAAGAAAGGAAGGAAGGAAGGAAGGAAGGAAGGAAGGAAGGAAGGAAGGAAGGAAGGAAGGAAGGAAGGAAGAATGACTCCTTCTTCCTGGGTCTAAGATTCAGTGTTTGACAGCTAGTGGTCTAAAATTAGCAAGAGAAGAATGTGATTGGCTGGTCCAGCTCATCTTCTCTTGCCATACCTTAGCTAGGGATGGGCTGGCTTTGAGTCAAGGCATCATCACCCTGGACTAATCCGTGGGTCACACTACATGGGAGGCGGCCACCTAGGGACCCTGGGTGAGGCAGAAGTACCCCCTCAGAGTGAAAGCCCTCCCTCTCACCAACACCTTGCCATTCCTCCTCCCTCGTCCCTCAGCAGCAGCATCCGATCTAAGAATTAACCAGTCTCCCCTGAGACTCCTCCCTGCTGCTCAGCTGCATGAACACAGTGTCAGCCTTGGCTGCCTTCCCCTCCTGACTCCCTCTGGTTCTTCGTCCCCCTTCTCCTGCCTTCACCTCCCACAATTCTGTCCAGAAGTTTCAGAGAACATCCTCAACACCCTGCTATCTGCTCTAAGGGAGTCTAAAGTTCAAGCAATTAAGCTCAAGGCCTCTCACCAGGCTAGGGAGGAATGACCCAGGGAGCAGCCCTGTGGAAATTGTAGAGGGAGCTGAGTCAGCCCTATGTCTCGGCTGTGTCAGGGTGGGGCCAAGGCAAGTGACCGTCTCTGGGTCAATGCCTTTGTCTTCCTTACCTTCTTTGTGCCCTTACCTCCACCGCCGGAGGGTCCCTGAGACTCCTGGATCACTACACTGTCTCAAGAGTTGTGCTTTAGGAGAGAGTGAAAGAGGGAGAGAACTGCGCGTGACAGTTCTCTCTTGGTACCACATCAGTGACTGCTTCCTCAGAACGGATCTCCTCCCCACCCCAGAATCCACTCTCTTGATCCTCTCACGGGCCCTTTTCCTACTATCAGATACCTTACCCGAACCTCAGTGGAGCTCCTAACCTAGGTCCCTTCTGCCTATCTCTATACTCCCATGGGCCTCCATCCAACCTGGTATTATAACTTCTCTGAGCCTCCGTTCTTCATCTGTAAAATGTGAATAAAGATAGTATTTACCTTACAAGAGTGGTTGTAAATTTTCAGTGAGATAAGGAACATCGTTTTTTCTACAGCACCTGGTGCACCCAAAATGCTCAGTAAACATTTGCTGCTGCTGTTGCTGTCTTTTATTATTTCATCAGTCATGTAAGCAGGTGTAAAGAGCACTTAGTATGTGTTGGACCCTAGGCCGGGAACCTAAGGGTACTGTGCTTGGATTCGAATAGCTTTAAATCTACTTAGAGAGGGAAGAGAAATCACAAATCAATAAAGTAGTTCAGAAACATATCGTTTAGCACAGCTTTTCAGAATCTATTGAATTGCTCAGAAATCTAACTCAGCAACTCTGCCTCTGTTTCTTTGCTGCGTCTTTGGTTGCTGTTTGGTTGAATACACCATCATCAGCACGGGCTGGGCTGAGCTTTGGGAAACCCGCATGGGCCTCGGCTGGCTTTTCCAGCTAGTCTTCCCTTCTGCCTGCCAGGCCAACAGTGCCAGCATAGTCACAGGATTGGCCCTGACACTCCCATCTCTAGGGGAGCCGAGGCTGGGTTGCAGCCAGATCCTGGGAGAAAGGGGTTGCTGGCCAGTAGTATTGCAGGGAGGATACAGAACTTTACTCCTATAATCACCCTAGAAGACTCCTTAGAGGGGATGTAGGATGGGGGCTGATAGGCAGCAAAAGGTGGCCAAAGGCATTTGTGGGAGGGAGGAAGGAAGGACCACACCTAGGGAGAGGGAGGAGTCAGGAACGGGGGAGCTTAGCCAGTCAAGAGGATCAAATTCCTCCAGGGTGAACTCTGAGATAGGTTCTAGGGACCTACAGGCACGGAAAGCCTGTGAAAAGAGGACCAGGGGAGAAGATCCTGCCACTCCACCTACACGTGGCCCAGGTCCTCTGAGAGAGTCTAGCAGGCAGCAGAACCAGCGGGAGCCGCCTCCCTCAGGGCCCCCACCTGCCTGCCCCTCCTTGCCCCTCAGTGCCTGCTGGGAAAGCCAGAGAGGGAGAGAAGACGATGGAGCCAGGCAGGACTCAGATAAAGCTTGACCCCAGGTGAGTGAGGGCAGCAGGCCCAGAGCCGGGAGCCAGTTGCTAAGCAGTGGCAACCAGTATGTCACTGGCCTATCCCTACCTCCCTCCTAAGTTCTTTGGCTCCTAGGACATAGAATGAGACAGACTCATAATGGTTTGGCTGTCCCCAAGGTCCTGTGTGTGACCTTTCAGAGCCTTGGCTTTGTCCCTCAACTAGGAAGAGAAAAGTCTCAGAGGTAGGGGCTGTGAAAAGGATGCACAGAGCCCCATCCAGCTGTGGACCCATCCCTGGTGCTAAGGGTCCACTCTTTCTCTGAGGCTCTGCTCTTTCTCTATTGTTAGCCACTGGACTCATGCTCCAGTGGAAGTGGAGAGAGTGCTTTGTGAGGCCTTTGGGCTCCTAAGCCAGTCCTGTGCCAGGCCTACACAGCACTTGCCTTACACACTAGCCTGGACCAATTTGCCATTTCCTCTAAAAATCAGGGCTCTGAGGGATAATGTACAAGCCACCTGAACTCAGGAGTGTTTGAGGGCGTGTCAAATAATTGGTGTTCCTTCTGCTTCCCTCCCAAGTCCCCCTATTCTGAATGTTGGTTGGTGTCTCTTCAGGTACACAGCAGATCTTCTGGAGGTGCTGAAAATGAATTTCAGCATCCCCTCTGCCTGCTTCTCTGTCGCTCCCACTGCAGCCCAGCTTCTGAGAGGTGAGTCAAGGCCCTTCCCCAGGGGGGACTGAAAGGAGGACATGAGCACCCCAGCAGAAAGCCAGGACGGCTGAGTGAGGTTGAAGAGAGGTGGTCCTGAGCTGGCTAGCCTGGAGAGTATCTACATATCATGGCGAAGGCCTTGGGGAAGAGCAGCTCCTCAAGGAGCCAATAGGCCAAAAAAAGGGCATGACCACCTAGCCAGGGAGACACAACTGTATGTTGGGCCTCCTGCAAACCCCATCCTCAAAGCTCTTTCAAGTTGGGGACACTGGCTTGGAGCATTTTTCAAATCTCAGAGCCATCCAGGGAATCAAGATGGTGCCCAAATGATGCAAACCCCAACGAATCCCCTGGGGGCCTCCATAATACCCTCTTTGGGAAAGCGTCTACATCATTCTAGAGGGCTGGTTATTATGAATAATGTTCTTAACACTTAGGGGAACCTGTAAAACTATTCTGACAGTGTTGGCCAACTAGATCTTATACTGAATTGCTTTTGAGCATGAAAAGCAGAAAATGAGAGTCCATTTATTCCCTGGCCACCTAAAATATGACAACCAATGACTTCAGCATCATTATAGCAAACGTGTCTCCTGTCCATATTTTGTTTTGTCTTCTTACTGCACGATTAACCACCTCTTAGAATTTCAAGAATAGGAGTCTGTGTCTCTATGGAATCCTTACTGGTTTTTTTCCAGTCTCCTTCTTGATGTCGTCACCTCAGTGCATAGACTTTCTGAACAACAGGATATGGTCAGTGTGGATTAGAAGGCAGACAGGGCAGGTGCTTGGACAATCTCAGCCTTGTTTCAGAGCAAATGACAACGGCCAGGGTGTCCAGAAAGGCTTTGCAGCTGCCGTGGGGTTTGCACCAGTAGGTGGCTGACGCATCCAGCTCCAGGAACCTCTTGTCAGAGTGCAGCTCATGGTACAAGTGTTCCCTTGTAGATTAGCAGTTGTCAGACGAGAGGCAATTCTCTCCCTCAGGGAACTTCTGGCAATGTCTAGAGACAGTTCAGTTGCCACAACTAGAGGGTGCTATAGGTGTCTAGTGAGGAGAGGCCAAGGATGCTGCCCTGAATACAAAGGAAAGCCCCCCTCCCCCCCACACACAACAAGGAGTTCTCTTGGCCAAAGTGTCAATCGTGCTGAGACTGAGACAGTAAAAATTTCACACAGTAAAAGTCCATCTCACATGGCGTTGCTGCAGGACATGCGAATAGGAGCACCAGGGATGGTGCTCTCTTCTCTCAAAGCAGGGAGACCATTCTGGGTCCTGTAGTCTTGTGAGCTGCCTTGTTGGGGGATTTGGAGGAAATGTAGGAATGGGCAAGCAAACTGGAGAGTGGAGGCAGGCAGTGGGCGCTGCAGAGGTGGGGGTGGACACAGAACGAGCAGACAAGTTCTCCCCTGATCTGGCAGGATTCCAGGTCACTGGTGAGGAGGCAGGGGACCATTGAGAGGGCTGGGCAGGTGAGGTGGGGCCTGATGAGCCGGCAGGCAGAGAACTTGTACTTTATCCTGTGGAGAGAAGGAGCTGGTGAGGGCTCTAGACTGGGAGGGGCTAGAGAGTGCTGCAAGATAATTAATCAGTAATCAGAATGGACTTAGGGAAGAAGAGCCTTGAGAAGCAGGGGTATAAATTGGAGGTTATTGCCCCAGCCCAGCATGAGGAAGAAGAGTCTGAGCCAGAACAGTGTCCAGGGAAAGGAAAGGAAGGTTGGAAGACAAAAGTTATCCAAAGAAAGAGCAGCTGGTCTGGTCAATACCAAGACAAGGTGAGCAAAGGAAAAAAAGACTGTCACGACCACCCTGGGGAGCCGGGCAGGGTGACAACATGACACTGAGAATCAGGAAGCTGGGAAGAGGCACCCACTGAGGATGTGGCAGGAACCCTTCCTCCTCTGTTCGCAAACCATTGCTCCTTAAATTAGATGCCACTTAAGAAAGAGCTATTTTGGAAGAACTATGGAACCTTTCAAGAATCTGGGTTTTTTTAATGTGTACTTATTTATTTTTGAGAGAGAGAGAACACAAGCAGGGAAGGGGTTGGGGATGGGGGACGGGGAAACAGGGAATCTGAAGCAGTCTCCGGGCCCTGAGCCATCAGCACAGAGCCTGATGGGGGGTAGGAACTCATAAACTGTGAGATCATGACCTGAGATGAAGTTTGATGTTTAACTGACTGAACTGCTCAGGTGCCCCCAATAATCTGTTTTTGAAATGACTGTGATATGATTGCAATTACAATCCCTATAGGATTTTTTTTAATGGGATGATCCAAACATTCATGTGAAAGAGGGAAGGGCCAAGACAATTTTGAAAAAGTGCAAGAGGGTACCTGCTCTTCCAGTCCTTAAGACTAAGCAATGAGGCAGTAAGTGCAAGGTCCTAACAAGTGGAAAAGAGAACAGAACATAATGCTGGGAAAGAGAGCCCAGTGGGGAATGTGCTCTATGAAAGGATGCTACACACTTCAGTGGGCAGAATGGGTTCTTCAAGAAGTGACCTGGACAATGTATTTGTCCCTATGGCAATATAGGTCCAATGTAGCTTCAATCCAGACAGCTTAAATACCTAAATGTAAAATGCAAACTTTTTTACAAAAGAAAATACAGAAAGGTATCTTTATGATTGGGAGTAGAGAATAATTTCTTAAATAAAACACAAAAAAGCACAAGTGATCATGGAGATTGGCTGTATAAACGAACAAACTTCTATACACCTAAAAACACTATAAATGATGCTAAAAGCCAAACCATAAATTGGGAGAAGATATTTTCAAGCCTAACTAACAAGGGATAAGTAGTCAGAATAAGAAAAAGTTCCCAATAGGGGCGCCCGGGTGGCTTAGTCGGTTAAGCGTCCGACTTTTGCTCAGGTCATGATCTCGCGGTTCGTGGGTTCGAGCCCCGCGTCGGGCTCTGTGCTGACTGCCAGCTCGGAGCCTGGAGCCTGTTTCAGAGTCTGTCACTCCCTCTCTCTCTGACCCTCCCCTGCTCATGCTGTCTCTCTCTCTCCTAGAAAAAAAAAAAAAAAAAAAAAAAGTTCCCAATAAAAGTTGTATGAAATATGTGAACAGACAGGTCACAGCAGAAGAAACCCTACTGACCAGTAAATAAACAAAAAGATATTCTATTTTGTTAGGATTTAAGAAGCCATGAATTACACAATGGCATGTCATTTCACTACAATGAATTTGAGGTGACAGTGAGCACTTGTGGGCCACTGGTGGGAGTATAATGGGGATAACCACTGTGGAGACTGATTAGCTCTCTACAGCATTGAAGAAGCTCATCTCCTCCAGCCCAGAAATTCGGATTTTAGGTGTACGCATAAAGGAACTCTCCTAGGGGTGCCTGCGTGGCTCAGTCAGTTGAGCATCCGAGTCTTGATTTCAGCTCAAGTCAAGATCCCAAGGTCTTGGGGATCAAGCCCTGTGTTGGGCTCCGGATTGAGTATAGAACCTACTTGGAATGCTCTCCATCTCTCTTTAGCCCTCTCCCCAGCTCACACTCTCTCTCACTCTCTAAAAATAAAAAATAAATAAATTAAATAAATAAAAGTACTCTCCTATATGTGCTAAGGAGACATGTCCAAGAGTATGTATAGAAGCATTTGTTTATCATAATGAAAATAATATGATGAAAACAATTGCTGGGTGGAAAAAGCATTTTGCAGGATGATATCATTTATATAGATTATTTATTTATTTAATAAGTGGGCTTCCCACTCAGCGCAGAGCCCAACACAGGGCTTGAACTCACAACCCTGAGATCAAGACCTGAGCTGAGATCAAGAGTGAGAAGCTTAACCAACTGAAGCACCCAGGCACCTCTATGCAGGTTTTTTTAAATGCAAAGCAATATAGTATGTTAAGTATGCACTTATGCTATGAAAAATTAAAACATAAATGAAAACATATACACCAACTTCAGAACAGTAGTTAGCTCTAGGAGGTGAGGTGTGGAAGGGAAAATGATCTAGGAGGTGACTACAGTGGCCTTCAAATACAACTGTAATGGTTTATTTTTCTAAAAATAACCTTTGAGGCAAAATTGGCAATATTGTAACATTCTTTAAAAAGGGTTATGGGTATATTCATGTTTGCTCTATTCTCTTTATTTTTGGAATTTTTGTAATTTAATACATTATTTTAATTTATAAATTATTTTAATTTACAAAAAATCATTTTTAACCGGCTGTGATGAGATGTTCATTTTAAAAGTATAAAATTTTATTATACTATAAAATTATACTCTTGTAGTAATATAATATGTATGCACTTTAACCAGGGTGTTTCTTAAAGCTACTTTTTATTGAACAAATACTACGTGCCAGGTGCTGTGCTGAGGCTAGTGAGAGAATGAATAATCTGTCCAAGGTCAAGAGTAAGTAGTAAGTGGAATTTTTCTCTGAACTCTGACTCCAGAGACGGTGTTCTTAACCTCTATGAAAACAAAATGCAACAATGAAAATGACTTTTGGTTAGGAACTAGCTGAAATTATTCGTGATACTCTTTCAAAATTTTAATGCCCTTGTATTGTTTTCATTATTTACAAAAAATAATCTTCACTATTTCAGAGACAGTGGGACATTTGCTAGTTGCTAAAGGTATAATTGTATTCAAAAAGCTCAGTTAGACAAGCATTTCCCAAAGTGTGTTCCCTTGAGTATTAATCTCAAGTAGTGCTTCATGAACACAGAATCTACAAAAATAAGTTTTGTAAAATCTGGATTCTAAATCTCCAGTAGGAAATCAACAGTGTAAATCAGATTAAAAACTTGAGCATGGGAAGAAACAGGTTTCATTTTATTTAAAAATCCTTTGGCCATAGAACACTTTTGTCCCATAATATCTGTTAACATGCGGAAACATAAGATACGAGACAATCTTTAAAGAAGATCCGTGAATTGCATGGAGAGCAGGAGCCCTCTTTCTTAGCTTTTTGTGCTGTGGCAGTAGATACAAGAGCCTGTAGATAGCACAAGTATG